ATATATTTATGTTATATATATTTATCTTGCGAATAGATTCTTATTCTTGAAACTTCTCCTTAAACTATAAAGCTTAAAAGCTTTACCCAGACTTACTCATTTAATCCATCCAATGTACCCTATCTGCATATATCTGTTCTGCTTGTTTTTTTTTAACCTTTGGGAGATTTTCAACTCAGCATAGTAGTTGGACAGCATGCAAAAGAACATTTCAGCAAGGCTACTTTCTGCATATTATTGTTATTCTCATCTTTAATTTTCACCATGATGCTGAGAGAGTGGTGATAAGTAGCTTTCCAGAGCTTCTGTCAGCCATGGGGTCCTAGATGTACTGGAACATACTTTACATCAATTATAGTCTTTTGCAATAAACTTGTCCTCAGCTTTCACCAGAAGCCTCTCTTCAATCTGCTATTTTTCTCCATCTTCTTAACTTCACCATTGTCACTCTGATTTCATCCCTGTTATCCCATCTTTTCTTCACTCTATTCTTGTTCCCTCCACTTAGTTATCTATTATGCCAAGCTCATGTTTGCCTTGGTGACCTAAAATTTGCTTTATGGAATGATCTTTCCTCAATATAAGTCAAGCTCTTATCTTCTTTCCATCTTTACTTAAATGTTACCTTTTCAGGAAATTCTTCTTTGACCACAGTTCCAAAATTGTAAAATACCTATCTCGTTTCCATAAATTTCCTCCTTGGCATTTATCATTTCCTCAAATTCTCCAACAACATTTTTGACTTATTTTGTTGTCTGCTCCACTAAAATCTATGAGGTTCGATGAGGATTTTGATTCAGAAATTTTTATTTGTTTAACTTACATTTGAATACTTAGTACCCAACAATTCTTATAAATAATAAGTATGCAATGCATACTTATTGAATGAATGATCAAACATATAGGAAAAATAACAAGATAGAATTGTAGAAAGAAGTATATTGGACATATCTTTACTGCTTATAAATTCTTACACACCCTTTATGTACAGTCAACATTACATAGCTATTCAGCAGTCTTTTCTTATTTCCATCAATACCTTGTAAGGAGATCATTTACCTGTGACAACACTGGGGATCTTAGAGAGAAAGCTCTTGACTGTTCTGATGGGCACACCCCCTGTCTTGTCATCTTGCATCTTTGCAATGATGTCTTCAATCTGAAAAAGGTAAAGAAAAAAGTGTAATTTCCCACTACAAAGAGTAAAGTATAGCTTTATAAAAAGCTAAAAGGAACATATGCCAAAATGAATGCCAACAATAGATACCAGAAGAAGACTTCAACTGGTCTGTTATTAAACATAGTAGCAGGATCTGTCGTGTACCAAGTGCTTGGTTTGGGTTTGGGAGCTCTAGCTAGCTGCTCCATTAGAACAATAATCTAGTTAAATAAGGTAAGGAGAAGGAACTACATAGAATTTTTGATGAGATCAAGCATGTAATTCAAAATGAATGATGACATTCTTTCTCCCAAACTGGGTTTTTACATAGGGATGAACCACCATATTCAACCTAATAAATGGCAATTTCCTATAGTTCAACTTAATATATTAGCATACTATTGTTCAGAAGCATAGCATGGACTGCCTTTGAGTTGGAATCAGATGAAAGAAAAAAGATAAGGTTGTAAGTCAAGACATAGAAAATTCTGATCCTTTGAAGTTGGAGGACACATCTCACTGGCTGGGAGCAATGGTCACCTTGAGCTGAGACCACAAGGACAGAAGCTGCTCCTTATGGACTATGTAAAGCTACATTATCAGGAGAAACACAATGTAGGTTGTGACTTGCATCCAGGTAAAACTGTTACAGGGGAACCCAAAGTAAACTGGGTTGCTTGTCTGTGGGTCCTCACCCACAAGCTTAAGATTCAATTGCACTGTAGGCATTACACAAAAAGGGTCAACAATGGGTTTATTTACAAAGGGAAAGAAAAGGAAAAACCCAGGGAAAAAGACAGAAAGGGAGAGATACAAGTTAGTGTGTCCTACCAGTTCTGATGACTTGGAACCCCAATAGCACACTGAAAGCTGATCAAGAGCCAAGCAACCAAACAACAGCCATGAGGCCAAGGGAGAGAGAGAGAGCTTCAGTTCAACATGTCTCCTTTATATATATCCCAAAAGTTTCAAAATGGCTGTTTAGCTCTGTCTTGGGTCCTTGCAGCCCCACTTTGGTATTTCTGGGAGTTGTAGTTTCAGTGACTGGAGTAGGGGGTGGAGTCCACAAAACCTGTATCTGCAGCATTCATTCAATACATCTTTTCTCCCTAACAATTGATGAAACAGATACATGTATATACACTGAAAATAGAAGAGAGGAGATGGACTACCAAGGATACAGGTTCCTAAACTTGGAAACCTATTTGTAGCTTAAGAAGTTATAAGTCAGATAAAACTTCCTGGGCAGAAATTTTCAGAATAGACTACAGAACAATCTGTAATAAGGACATAGACTTTTTTCTTTAGGGACCAGAGTGAAGGGCAAGAGGAAAAGAGAAGTTAATGTTTAGTTTTTCATAAATTTGTTCATTCTCCTTAGCAATAAAATGTCTTTGAAACATGAAGTGGATTTTCTGAGGACTTATATAATAGAGTTATAAAATGTTAAGTCTAGAAATGTAAAGATGTAGTTCATCCAGTTTAGAATACTAGATTATAAATGGAGGTTAAGTAAATTTGTCAGCCTATACTCAGGAGGACTAGTGATGGTAAGATCATTATTAGTGACTGGCAATGAGTAGCTTCTTCCTAGAAACCAGGGCCAGACTTGGATTTATTTAAGAAGTTCATTCAATGTATCATCCTTACTACTCACAAATTCTAGACAACCTTCAGATCAATAACTTTTTTGATAGAGAGAGCGCTTGTTAGAGACACAGTTAGGATATGGCATAACTTAATAATTAACAATTTCTTATGTGCTAGGTACTTTTCTAAGAATTACACATGAATTATCCTATTTAATCCTCATGATCACTTCACGGGCTAGATTCCACCATTACTCATTTTTCAGATTTAAAAATCTAAGATTTAGTGAGGTGTACCCATCAAGACAGTCTGGATTCAAATGTAACAAGCAACATCTTGGAGCATACACAACCTCTTATTTCCCTTTTATGCTGTAAGACTACTGCTGGTTAAAGGGGGGACTCCACCATTGTAACTTCTCTGGCCCCCGGCTGAAGAGCAAAGAGTGCTTTGAATGCCTTTGTTGGCCACGGTACAGAGGGACAGAGAGAATAAAGGAGAACCTTACATATTATTAAATGTTATAGTCCACACTTTACATGTATCACATTTTGCTCATAATTCTTTATCCAGACCAAGTCACAAGGTATCAAGCAACCATAAAGGATCCAGGCGATGCTGTCCTCTGGGTGTCAAGAGAAGGGAACTGACTACTGACTAGGGCCACACAGAGGCTAAGCAACCTTCCCAACTGGGTTCTGAATTTGAACCTAGTCACAGCTAGATTGAGAGTTTAGGCTTCTAATCACTAGGCTGTTCTTTCTTCCAGTAAGAATCTCAGAAAACCATTGAAGCAAGGAAACCATTCTGCCCTGGATATTTCTGGGTCTCCTTGAGAAGTACTGATGGTTAGAAAGAATCTTGAGCTCCTAGTTCTCAGAGCACATGAATTTAACTCTTGTTCTAGGGTAAACGGCCTTTCTCTAAAGACCTCAAGCTGTTAAATTAAAGGATGAGCAGATTTTCATCTGCATTCTGTTAATAGTCTCAGCTGGTGCTCCACCTTCTGTAAACTCAGCCCAACAATTCAGGGTATTTTAAGGACTGACAGTCAAGAGGTCCTCCCATAACAATGGTCACATTTCCAAAGTAACCTTTTGATCTACATGCTATCAGAAACCAGAGCATCTTTTCCATTGCTGCTTTCTATGGGGTGGCCTGAAGGTGGCTGGGAAATGGAGGAAATCAAAGTTTCAATTCAGTTAGACCCCAGTGGCACCAGATGGCAATGCTCAGCAGTCTGCTGATATGGGCTAGAGTTAGAGGCTGGCTGTGCAGATTCTTTTCTCTTCTGCTCTGTTTACTTGCTTGCACAGTGAATCTTGGAACAGTTTATTTACTAAAGATGAAGAGCCATCAACTTATGTTGGCCCATACTGTATCAGAAAGAGGATTATGCTATAGGGTGAGTTTACAACATCAGAGGGATGGAAGACCCCAATCCTTGACTCCTCCATGGTATAGATATATATCTATATTCTCTCCCTTGCCTTATAATGCCTTGACTCTTGGGCTTGACTATGTGTCTTGCCTGTTATTAAATTGACATAATACAGAGGCCTTCAAAGTACCTGCATGGTTATGACTAACTTCTCTTGCCTTCTTTCAGCAGATAGTTATTGTTCTTTCTAAGGAAGATGAGACACCTCTGGAAAAGGAGGGATTCAAACCAGTGCTATATACTGGAGCCTCAGCTGACCTGCAGATTTGTCAGCAAGAAATAAATGTTTATTATTTTGTGCCACTGATTTTGGGATGACTTTGTAAATAGCCACGCTGGGGCTATTGCTGACTGATACAACAGGATTCTGAAAAAAAGTACACTTGTCAAAAATTGCTAAAGCCACAACAAATATTTGGTAATGAGAATAAATGAATCTTAGAGGAGTATCTTAGAATCCAACCTTTTTTAAGAGCACAAAAATTCCACCATTTACCCACCTCAAGCACTGTGCTGCTCTGGTGGCTCATTCTATTGCTGTGTTAGACTATTTGGTTTGGCTTGGTTTGATGCCAGAGCACAGTCCACTACCTCTGAAATTTTTGTCATGGTTTCCAGACAACTGCTAAGAGTACAGAACTCTATCAAAAAAGTAAAAGTGGGCGCTTAAGCACTTCTATTAAATGTGATGACAAGCTTTTTGAGAATATCATTATGGTCAATACTATCTCAGGTACTTTAAATTACCTAATTTATTTCTCAGTTTTCAAAGTTATTTAATAAAGATGTTGAAATTAAGGCACAGCAATGTTAAGTGACTTACCAACAACCCAGAGCTACTAGTGGCAAAGCTAGAACACTTACCCAAGTCTTCCTGACCCTGAGCTTGTCTGTCTGCCTAAGCTCTGTCTAGCAAATCTAAGATTTATCCTTTTTATTTTCCTGCTGACATGCTTTTTCAGGGCACTTAACACAGTTTGCATCGAAGAGAAAGTTTATCACAGTCTTAAGAGGGAGGTGGAGGAAACAGAGAAATTGATCCAGGTAATCAGGTTATCAGTCATTTGGGATTGATTTCTGCCCAATGGCGGTGGCATTCTGCTGCTCAGCATTCTCCCTTTGCCCCAGAGGCTCGGTTGGATTTATCTTCTGCTGGTAGATCACAGCGTCTGGCTCAGGAACAGGAATGTATATACGTAGATTTTCTTGATGGCTCTGTTCCACCTAACTCTGACATCTTTTGTTCCTGAAGAAGAGCAAAATCAATTCCCTGACATCCTTTCCTCTGAGGTTCTGTGTATTAGGGAGCATGTTGGACGTACGTCTCACTGTGCCAATCAATAAACAGGTGGCCCTTATCTGACAGCCAAGTGATGCAGAGAAATCACTAGGCCAGCTCGGCGGTTCTGCCTGGATGGGTCACAACAACCAGGACGCCTTCTCCAAGGAGCTCTAAGCTCAGCACTGACATGCAGGTAAGACACTCACCTAAACAGTGGGGAAAATGGGAAAGCTTTAATCTGGGCGTAATACAAAATGTGTCATCACCCACAGTAGGGTGGGGTGAGGGGGTGGCCCTTTGAAACAAGAGATATTATGGCACGGTAGACATCATTCACTGAACTCGTGATGGAGTCTAAGCGAAGGCAAGGAGAAGCAATGTTTTCTTTACAAACTGAAGCCACAGCAGGATGCTGGGAAGAACACTAGGCTGAGGCCAAGGCTGAGGCTAGCCTCCACCATGTCATGGCAGACTTAGATGCACTCACTCACTGTGACCTTGGACAAGTTACATAGCCTTTCCAGATTCCAGGTTTCCTGGAGTCTATTACAGTGATTGGCCTGGTGGCTAAACTAAGGCATCTAGCTCTAAAGCATAAGTCTTCTCTGGCCTGACAATACAGAATTGTGTCTGCAAGGACAGGGCAGGACAGGCAGACTGCCTCTGGGCTCCCATTCTTCACATCAC